GCAGATTTGACAAAATCATTTAAATGTATACATGTATGCATTATTGCAAAAGTAATTCATGAAAATTTTCTCTGTGTGGAGTGTGCGCAGTCGCAGGTTATTGCATCAATTATCGCGCATCTTTTTGATTAGCTCCCACCTCGCTGATACCCACAACTGCAATAAAAACTGCACAGACAAGGTAAGACATATGTTTTTATATTTAATGCTGTTCACGCAAAATTTTTAATAGTGCATCGTGCACTTTGTTTAGGTATAATGTGGGTTTATCGTTCAGGAATGTTGTCGATGTATAATTCCTAACTGAAAGTGATGAGACAAGAAACAGTTTTTTTTTTTAGGATAAATCAATAGGATACATCAAGGATACATTGATGCATCCCTAATATATAAATATGTATGATACTTGCAACGATAAACAAACAGTAAAACTACATTGTTCTCACATGACCTTACAGTGCATGCATTCAGCAATGTTCAAACTCTATAGGCATATTCTTCTTGGGAAAAAACAAACAAACAAACAAAAAACGGTTTACTACTTTTTAATCCATATTGAGAATAAATGTATTTGATTGGAAGCCCAGTGTAATGCAGCCAGTGTTGGGGAAACTGCTTTGTAAAGCTTTAAAGCAGTGAATTTAGTTTAACTACCCTTTAGAAAAATACCCTTTCTCTGAAAGTTTCTTTTCTTGCACTAAAAAAGACTTTCTTTCGCTCACTGGGGTTTTGGCCTGATGCCCTGTAAAGAACCATTGTTAAACATTATTTAAAGCTGAACAGAAATTGACATGTGAAATCAAGAATGAGAGATGGATAAAGACAGAAGTGTTGAGGGGGTGGCTGATACATTTATGAACTTAATTTAGTCTGTAGCTCATAGACAGACTGAAAGATGCATGACAGAAGATCATATGAATCATGATAAAACTGTTTTCCAACAAGCTCAACTCTTTTCCGAAGTATCTTTTTTTGTATCATTCTTGCTACTTTTACTAACAAATAACAACATAGTGTTGCTATTACTGTTAAATTCTTATATTAAATAAAAACCTGGGGCCGTATGTATAAAGTCGCTCAAAGTAAAAGTTTAGTCTTAAGTGTGTCAAAATTCTAAGAATGACGTAATTTTACTCTTATTCCTAGACTTAAGAATAAGAGTGATTCATAAAGGTTCCTAAGTGTTAAAAGAGGTCTCAGCTCCTAAATTATTTAAGAGAGCTGGAGAGGTCTCCTAACCTAGTTAGGAGTAATAAGATGGCAGCAAAGAGGAGACGACAAAAACTTTCCAGCGAAAATATATTGGAGTTATATGATGATATGGAGTTGATAAAACGATACAAACTTAATTGTAAAGATCAAAAAGACTTTTTTTTTTTTTGTAACTGATAAAGTAAAAAATGTAATCCTCTTCCATTCAACAAGCCAATGCTCTAACAGCAGAAATGAAAGTAGTAATGAATTTTTTTTGGCTGTAAAATTGGAAAAATGCAGCAATGCACCGGTGATGACACAGTAAGCAGGTTCTTACATATTGTGGCACTAACCCCACCAAACACAACAGTGGCCAAAAGTGATGTTTTGATATATTTTTTTTAATGACCCCACATTTCACTTAAACCGTTAAAATACAAAGGACAAAAAAAACACTGACCAGTGTTGCCAACTGCTTTCAATTGAAAGTAGCTAAAACTGGTCACTTAATGTTGCTAGATGACCTCATAAAGGTGAGTTCACTGATCTATATTTATATTTATATAGATCAGTGAACTCGCCTTTATGACGTCATGGGAGAGTCTCGGAATGTAGATAACGTTTGTCCAAGAAATTGATTTTGTTGCTAGGTTTTTGAAAAAAGTCTCTAAAGGGATGCGGAAGTCACTAAATCTAGTGACAAAATCACTAAATTGGCAACATTGGCACACTGACTACAACATACGTTATTTACATTTCATTGGTCCTCTTGTTTTTGCATGTGTTCATAATGTCTTTGTATGATAGCATGGCCAAAAATTATCACCGCAAAATTTGGCTTGTTTCATTGCATTATTATCACAAATAAAACAACTGACTAAGCAACTAAACAATATGCTTACAAAATCTTGCACGTTTTTTTTTTAAGTAAGGATGAAAATATGTCAAATTTCCTAGGCCGGACATCACTTTTGGCCACTACTATATGGCAGTTTATTGAATTTTCAACTGACCGCCAAACCATACTGCAAAAACAACTTTTGTGAGGTTTGGGCTTTCCTGGAGTTATTGGAGCCCTTGATGGAACTCATGTTCACATCATTGCTCTAACTGTAAATGAGGAGACATACCATTAAACAAAGCATTTGTAATAATTTGTGATAATTTTGCACAATGCAAAGCATTTAAAAATACACTTAAATTAAAATATTTCAGTCTTAATTAAATGATTTTATTGTAGTTACATTAAATGATTGGTGTTGTGCTGCTGTGACTTTACATGAGCAGGCTCACTATTGGCTGATTCAGAGGTCGAGGTCGGCCATTTTGTGTTGACATCATTGTAGTCCTTAGTTCACAACACTTAAGTGTCACCTCAGTCAACACTTAAGAATCAGTCTTAGACTTTACTGAAAGTTGCTTTTAGCGTCTTTATAAAAGTCTCCTACTCTTAGAAAAGTCCTACTTTTTACTAAGAATTTTTTGACACTTAAGTCAAAGCTTAAGACTATTCTTAAGAGCATTTCTGAGAAGTTTTATACATACGGGCCCTGGTTTTTACTCTTTAAAACTCCTTATTTACATTTTTTTTTTTTTACTTTTATTTCTTTAGTGCTTCTGTGGCTCAGTGGTAGAGCATTGCGTTAGCAGTGCAAAAGGTCGTGTGTTCGATTCCCAGGGAACACACATACTGCTAAACAATGTATAGCCTGAATGCGCACTGTAAGTCGCTTTGGATAAAAGTGTCTGCTAAATG